AATTTCTGGCCCCCTCCATCAGGGGACCTACCAACAGAAGGGGGGGGGGGGGGAAAAGCAGCTGATCGGTGGTGGCAGCAAGGCCAGAGAGGGGTGGGGGTTACAGCTGCTAGAGAGAGATCGGCTCTGGTTGAAGGGAGAGGGTGACTGTTTTAGAACCAGAGGGAGGAGGGGTCCCTCTGAATGAGAATCACTCGGATTCTGGGGGCAGAAAACCAATAAGGCTGCTGGTTTTCTGGATCTTTAATGGTTTCCTCTTTTTAAATCCAATGATTCCCCTCCCCACCTCATTCCTCCTCTGAGATCATGGTCTTGTTCACCTGCACCCCCCTCTCCTCCCTGGGAGGGCACTACACCGATGGCTGCTCCTCTCCCCCTGCCCCGCTCCCCACTCAATGTCCCTCGTTCTTGCCTTTTTAAAACTGCATGCATTAAAGTGTTCGGATGGCCCATTCAGGCCCCCATGCCCCTGCCCCAGGGAAGACAGGGGAAGGAATTAGGGTGAGGGGGGAGGCGAAGCTGGGCCCCGCCCTTTCCCCCCTCCCCATGCCCAACCCTGGGCTCCGCTGTCCCAGCCGAGTAGCTCTGGAAGTCTGGCACCCCCTGGCTGCGCCCAAGGGGGATGCAGGTGTCACTGCAGGTCCCGATCCTCCAGGTAGCGATACTCAAAGGTGAAGCCTTCCTTCTTCCTCTGGCCCCATTTCTCGTAGTCAAAGTAGATATACGTGCCCTGAAGCAGCAATGAAGGGAGTGCCAGATCAGACAGACAGAAAGGCTGCAGTTATACCCAATCCCCTCTCCCCCAGTACGTCACACTGATTTGTAACACCCAGTCTCTCTTCGGCTGCTGGACATGGCAAGTCCCAGTGGGTAGTTATGGCAGGGTCTCAGCTGTGTGTACAGTGAAGCCCAGTCTGCTGTGTTATGGTAGGGTCTTCCCCTGGATGCCGTGGGCTGGTGTGTTACATGAGGATCTCATACTGGACAAGTGCTGGCATATTACCACTGTCTCACCCCAGAGCTAGCTGCACTGTAGTGTCAGGCATAAGAGCTGTGCACGCCCGCCCACGTGCCGTGCAGACACTTACCTGCTCAAATTCATCTGTGATGGTCTTGGGCTCCTCATGCCGCTGAAACCACATCATGTACTTGGTGTGGAACCGCCACGACTGCTTCTTCAGGGCTTTGGCTGCCAGGTACTGTGCCTTGGTACCCTGGGGAGACATATGCCCATCACACCTCTCCAGCCACCAGGGGGTAGTACACAGGACAAATGGGAACATACCACTGGCACAAGGAGGTACCGGGAAACAACCTGGGAGGTTTGGGGAGGGGCTTGGCACATATCACTGGCGCAAGAGGGTATGGGGTAACTTGGTTGGTACTGTGGTAGGGAAGAAAGCTCAGAATGTACCATTTAAACCTGGGAGGGGTGGGGTGGCATATACTAGCGGCCAGGGATCTGGGTTTTCTGTTTGCCATGGAAAAAAAATGCAGTAAAACCTGGATTCTCTCATTAAAGAGAAACCCATATTTTCTCCTTTAGAAACAGAGAAAACTGGGAAACGGCAGGGGGGAGCAGAAGGGCAGTCAGGAAGGGGGCATCATGTGCACGTGGGCACATACACACACACACACACACACACACACACACACGGCAGCCAGGCACCCTGGAAAGCAGCTCCCATAGGTAGGCCTGAGGAATGGTTTGGCATGTAGTAATGGCACAGGCCTAGTTTGGAATGTACCAATCTACCTGGGGGGTGCAGAATGATGTGGTATGTACCAGGCCAATAGCTTGGTAAGTCCCAAGAGCACCAGGTGAGGAGAACATACCATTAGCACTCTGCCTAGGGGTGCAATCATGGGACTATCTACACAGCCAGACAAACATGAGCAGGGGTCACAGCACAGCTTGAACCAAGTGCATGGGGTGTGGGGACTCCATAACTAACATTGGAGGGGGATCTCAGGATCCATGAGCAGCACCCTGTGTGCTTAAAGGGGGAAGAAATGTGAAACCTACTACTGGCAGCAAGCGGAGGGAACAGGATACCACTGGGACCCTGCACTACAGGGCAACATCCCCCAGTACATACCAAGAGCCTCTAGCCAAGGGGGTATTTCCCCACAGGTACCCCAGGGAACAAAGGAAGGGAGTGATTTAGCATGTTCCAGTATGAGGCAGGAGGCTAAGAGGCAGAGCATTTCATCAGCATGACAGGGCTGATGCACAAAACCAATGGGCCATGCCCATGGGGAGGGGAGGGCGCACTACCAGCAGCAGTCACCCACCTCACTACCCAACCTGAGGAGGATCAGTGGCCAGACAGAATTGGGCTACAGAGCACTCTGCCCACAGGGGCCCCCAGCTATACCTCCAGATAGTAGAAGATGAAGAAGAGCGTCTCTGTTGAGAGGCGCTGGTAGAACTCCACAGTGTCTGAGTGCGGCGGAGGCATCTGGTGGTGGTAAGGGGGAGTTGGGCAAGGGTTCCGGGGCAGATACTGCCTGTGGGGTGGAGACAGGGGGTTACAGATCTGCCTGCAACAGGTGGGGAAGCAGCATGGCATCTTGTTGGCAGCAAAACCCAGGAGTCGTGGCTCCCAGCCGTTGCTCTAACTCCCCCAAGACCCCACTCCTCCCCAGAACTGGGACAAGACAACCCCTTTAACCCACTAGATCCCAGAGCTGGGATAGAAGCTTTGCATCCTGGCCCCTACCTCCCCACTCCCCTCAGAGTTGGACAGAAACACCACTCTGTCCCTGCCCCCACACAGCAGGAACCAGGGCTTACCGGATCCTCTCCGAGTCCGAGGGGTGAGGCATGTGGTGCCAGGCTGCTTCCTCCATGGCCTGCTGGTAGAGCTGCTCTTTGGTGAGTGGCACTGGCCCCAGGGGACAGACCCCCAGGGAGAGCGGGATGTTCACCTCCGAGAGCTGGACTGGGGGCTGACTAGAGGCTGGCTGCGAGGTTGTGCTAGTAATCAGTATGTCTGACCAGAGAGGAGAGAGAACCTGTCAGGGATTCTTGCAGGCACTTCACACAGGGTCCCCTCAACCAGTGCTGAGATCCAACCACCTGAGCCTAGTTTATATAAAAAGACCCCTCTCACCCGGCACCAAGACACAGCTACATCTGGGGTGGGGCATAGGGGGGCTGTTCATACAGGGTCGGCCTGGTGCCAAGATGCAGACACCTCTGGAGCAGGGGGTGTTGGGTGATCATTCATGCAGGAGAATCTTTACCCACCAGTAAGATGCAGCTGCTTCTGGGGTAAGGCATAAAGCTGGTTTTACATAGATCCCCAGTCTAGCACCTAGATGCAGCTATCTTTGGGGTAGTATGTTCATACAGGGACTCGACATCCAGTGCAAGACTGCAGCTGTCAAGGGTTGCTGTTTTGTCCTGCACCTCCTTACCCCTTTCAGCAAGGTGAAGCGATGGCACAGGGTCCTCTATGCTGGAGCCAATGGCTGCTCTCTCGGCCATTGATTTCAGACTGCTGAGGGGCTCAGGTGCCTGGAAATGACAGTGGGAGGGAGGGAAGTCAGGTGCCTAGGGAGCCCCAGGTGCACCCTCCCCCTGTGTGGAGGGCAGGGCCAGGCTCACCTTGATCTCAGGGGTGGAGCTGAAAGGGGGCGGACCGTTGAGAAGCGGCTGGCCTGGCTTGGCCTCCGAAAAGCTGGGGGTTGGGGAGCTGGGGGGATTCACCGTCATGGGGACCAAAAGGCTGGAGGTGGTAGTGGCAGCATTGCTGGAGCTGCTGCTGGTGCTGTGTGGTGGGGGGGCTCCACCAGGCTCTTTCCTGGGCAAGAGGAGAAGGCATTAGCGTCCAAGTAGGCAGGCAGCCAGCCAGCCAGCCAGCCATGGGGCGGGGTGAGGGTACTTACGCAGTGCTGCTGGGGGGATTGTGGGGTGTCGGCTGGCTGGGAAGCGTCTGGCTGCTGCTGCTGCTCAGGGCTGAGTCTGATGAACTGTCAGCCACCACAGAGCTATAACCTGCACAAGGAGACATGGCTCTCAGGGTGGGGGCAGCCCAGGCTTGTACCCCATGAGCTGAGGGCAGGTGGAAGAGGAAGAGTCAAAGGCAGGGGAGCACTTTTCCCTCAGGACTAGGTTCTATTGGTCCTAGGGAATGGGGTACCAGTCTCCCCTAGAGAAATGAGGCCCTAGCCCAAGGCTACTGTCCTCACAGAGCTGGGATAAATTCAGGGCATCCTGGCTCCCAGCCTGACCTACTGGAAGTCACTAGCCTCCCCCTGCCCCCCTCCCCCCCCCC